AGACTGTTCAAGTCTGCCCACTCTTCCAAGCTTTCCACTCAACACATAGCTTCCCCTAACAACTGAAAACTCCAGAAAGACTTCTTCCCATCCCAGACCTCTGTGGGGGCCCAGCTGATTCCAGCCAGTCACAATCACTTGCCTAATTCATCAGAGTTCCACTGCTCTGGATCATACACTATATTAAGCTCACCGCCTCCTTGCTGTGCTGAGCTATCCATATAATTTCTTTACATTCTAATAGTATCTTTCACAGAACAAAAGTTTTTAATTTGATGAAGAGTAGTTTACAGATTTTTTTTTTTTTACTTTTATAGATAGTAATTTTGATGCGCTAAGATTTCTTTGGCTAACTACATCATGAAGTGTTTCTCCTGTGTTTATTTATTTCTAATTTCTAGTTTTGCTTTTTAGATTTAGGTCTATATCCATTCTTAGTTAATATTCATAGGAAGAAATTTTTTTTTTTTTTTTGCAGTTTTTGGCCAGGGCCAGGTTTGAACACACCACTTCTGGTACATAGGTATATAGGGCTGGCACTCTACTCCTTTGTGCCACAAGCACCACCCAGGAAGAAATGATTTTTTGATTTGAGAACATTAAATTGGTCCTGCACTATTTGTAGAAAAGACTATCCTCCATTTAATTGCCTTTGCAATTTAAAAAAATCTTTACAAATGATCAGTAAACTATATTTGTATGTCTTATTTCTAGACTCTATTCTGTTTCACAGCTCTATGTACTTATTCTTTCACCAATACTACACAGTCTTAATTGCCTTAGAGTTATATTATGTCTTAAAATCAGATAATATGAGCTCTCTAACACTCTTTATTTTTCAAAACTGTTTTGGCTATTCTAGTTTTACCTTTCTGTATAAATTTTAGAATGACCTTGTTTATATCTACAATGAATCTAGCTAAGATTTTGACTGGGACTGCAGTAAACCTATAGGTCAATTTGGGACAATAGACATCTTGATTGTATTAAGTCCTCTAATCCATGAGCACAGTGTGTTGCTCATTTATTTTGGTAATCTTTGAATTCTTTTACCGTATAGTTTTCAACATACAGATCCTGCATAATGTTTTGTTAGATTTATACTTAGGTAGTCCTTTTCTTTTTTTCTTTTGCAAGTATTATAAACAGAACTTTAAAAAAAAAACTTTAGTTTCCAATTGTTTGTTATTAATATATAGATATACAAGTAACTTTTTTCTTTACTTTTTTTTAGAGACAAGAGTCTTACTTTGTCACACTCGGTAGAGTGCCGTGGTGTCACAGTTCACAGCAACCTCTGGCTCTTAGGCTTAGGCAATTCTCTTGCCTCAGCTTCCCGAGTAGCTGGGACTACAGTATCTGCCACAACACCTGGCTATTTTTTTTGTTGTTGCAGTTTGGCCGGGGCCAGGTTTCAACCCACCACACTCAGTATATGGGGCCGGCACCCTACTCCCTGAGCCACAGGCACCACCCACAAGTAGCATTTTTTAAAGTAGACCTTTTCTCCTGCTGAAAGCACATCATAGTTCTAGGAGCAATTTCTGGTAGATTTACTGATAATTTCTACATAGACAATCATGTCATCTACTAAGAAAGTTAATCATCTGTTGAGTTTTGTTTGTTCGTTTTGAGACAGAGTCTCACTCCGTTGCCCTGACTAGAGTGCAGGTGCCTCCTCATAGTTCACTGCAACCTGAAACTCCTGTGCGCAACCATCTCTTCTGTCTCAGGCTCCCAAAGTGCTAGCATCACAAGTATGAGCCACCATGCCCAACTCCATTCATCTGCTGACAGACACTAAGGTTGACAGTAATGCTGCAATGAACCTGGGAGTGGAGATACCTTTCTGACATACTGATTTCATATTTTTTAATATACATTATAGGTTATTAATGTTTGAGTTTTGAAGAACCTCCACACTGTTTTTTATAAAATTGTCTTAATTTACATTCTGACCAACAGTGTGCAAGGGTTCCCTTTATTCCACATCCTTGCTACCCTTGCCTTTTGATAATAGACTTTTGCTATGGTTTGGATATGGTTTGTTCCCATTCAATCTCATGTTGAAATCTGATCCCCAATGTGGCAGTGTTGGGAGATAAAGCATAGGGGGAGGTGTTGAGTCATGGTGGCAGATCCCTCATGAATGGCTTGGTATCATTCTTGCAGTACTGAGTTCTGCCATGGCAAGATGGTATTAGCCCTCTTGGGCATGGATTTGTTCCTGGGAAAGTGAGTTGTTACAAAGCCAGGATGCCCTTCAGGTTTGGTCCCTCTTCACATATATCCGCTTCCCTTTTGACCTTTTCTGCCATGTTTTAATGCAGCAAAAATGTCCTCATGAGAAGCTAAGCAGATGCCAGCCCAGGGCTTCTTGCACAGTCTGCAGAACTGTGAGCAAAATTAACCTCTTTTCTATAAATTACTCTGCCTCAGGTATTCCTATATAGTAACACAAAATGAATTAGGACATCATTCTAACAGATGTGAGGTGTTATCTCATTTGGTTTTAATTTGTGCTTCTCTGATGATTAGTGACGTTCAATGTTTTTTCATATATCTGTTAGCCACTAATTAGGTGTGGGGAACCTGTGGCCTTAAAGCCACATGTGACCTTCTGGGTCCTTGCGTTCAGCCTTTTGACTGAATCCAAACTTTATGGAACAAATTATTTTAATAAACTGAAATATTTAAAATAATAATGATAAAATAAATAAACTGAAATATTTAGAATTGAGAAAGGTAATTCATTTTGCAACAGTTTCAAATCTCTTAATGTGTAATTTCATCTTTTAAGATAAAAAGGTTGAATAAATTTTTTTTTAAAGTCTAATTTGAGTTAATATTTGTACTACTATATTTTTCTTTTTATACTTGTTTTTATTGTTTGGGATTCAATGAGGGTACAAAGAATTAGGTTACACTGATTCTATTTGTTAGATAAAGTCCCTCTTTTACTTGTGTCCTGCCCCAAGAGGTGTGTCATATACCATGAGCCCCACACCTGTATTTTTCATATGTTGAAAAAGTAATCTCCGTTTTAACCATTGTATTTAATATCTCAGAAAGCTGATAACAATTCACTGTAGTAGTGATAAGATTTATATGTTTATTAGTGCTATAAATATGAGTCAGAAAGCCAATCTATTCTTGGAAAGGCTCATAGCTACATACCATTAGAAATGCCTAATAAGGGTGGCGCCTGTGGCTCAAAGGAGTAGGGCCCTGGCCCATATGCTTGGGGTGCTGGGTTAAAACCCAGCCTCGGCCAAAAAATGCAAAAAAAAAAAAAAAAAGAAAAGAAGAAATGCCTAATAACAAAATTCTTATTTTTAATAAGAACATAAATACTCTTAATGTTTTTACTGGCTACAATCACAAATGAACAGCTTTATTGCAAATCTTCTTTAACTTGACCTGGATTATAATCTATTTTTCTTGAAGTGATGGCAAAGACCAAACTCAAAGTAGAATGAATTTTTCATTAGACACAAATTTTCATTGAAAAATTAATTCTCAAGCATCAACCACTAATCACCTAATGTTAGTATTTCTAC